ACCACCACCCAGTAAGCCCCATTATATTATATTATAGCACTGAGGGCATGAGGCTGAGAGGGCTTGGGGAATCTCCCAGGGCTGCACAGCCAGTGAGTGGGACAGGTATTCTGACAAGCTGTCTTCTGTACGCTGCACCACATTGCGTACACACCCCGGGGAACAAGGAGCAACATGTCCTCTTTAGGTGGGTCAGGTAAAGATTTTTGTTTTGATAAAAAACGCCAGAACTTACACACACAAGTAAGGTTGTCATTCAAGACATTTACCTTCATAGCAACAGTTATTCTGAGCATGCTGATTGTTCAGTGCATTTTGTGGTTTTTGTTTTATGTTTTATATATTGATATCAAACAGGTGTAAAATGAAGGTCAAAAGCAGGTCTTTGTCCCTGCCCTATCCCAGTGCCACTGGCCCCTTCCTGCAGTGCCTTCTGCTGCAGTGAATCACCCCGAAGCCTCCCCTGCCTCCAGAGCAATGTTGCCTGACTTTTCTGCAGTCTTCCTCACAAGTACTTTTGAAGTCAGTTAAAATCAAACTTTTTTTTAACCTAATTTAATCCATCATGTTATTTTTTCAACTCGATTTCAAATAACATTTAAAAAAAACCTCTTTACTTTAGAATAGTTTTAGATAGAAAAATTGTAAAGATAATATGTGATGTCCCCAGACACTCTACACCCAGGAACTTCCATAGTAGACATCTGAGATAGTATGGTCTATGTGGATGAATAGGAATACATTACCAACTAAAGTCCATACTGTGCTCAGATTTCCCTAGTTTTTACTAATGTCTTTTTACTGTTCCAGGGCCACACCCGGGACACCACATGACATGTAGTGGTCACATCTTCTTAGGTGCCTCATGGCTTTGACAGATTCTCATTTCCCTGTTTTTGATGACTTCAACAGTTGTGACAAGAGGAGTACTTGTCAGGTATTCTGCAGACTTTCCTCAATTAGGATTTGTCTGATATTTTTCTCATTATTAGGCTTGAGTTAGGTGGTTATGGAAGAATAACACAAACTGTTTTCATCATCTTCTATCAAGGGTACATACTCCCCACTTGACTCAGCACTGTGGATGTTGACCCTGATCACCTGGCTGAGGTGGTATTTGTCAGCTTTCTCCACCATAAAGCTACTCTTCCTCCCCAATGCCCCAGCCCTTTCCATACTGTCCTCTTTGGAAGGAAGTCACTATGCAGAACTTATACTTAACATGTGGGAGCTATGTTCTCCCTCCTTGAGAGTGAAGCATCTGCCTAGTTAGTTAGATTTCTTCTGCACAGGAGATTTGTCACTTTTCCCCTTGTAGCAGTTTGGACTTGTGGGAATTTATTGTATCCTTTGAGTTATAATCCAAACCTATTTATTTCATTTCTCAAATTGTTCCATCTTTGGCCACTGGAGTTCTTTCACTTGGCTCCTATGGGGTATTTTTGAGCACTTTCTTACTTTTGGCACTATAAGATACTCTGGGCTCATCTTGTATTTTTCCTGCCCCAGTCCTAGAAACGGCGTTTCTCCAAGGAGTTCTGGCTTCTTTGCATGGAGAAAGGCATTAGAAACCAAGATCTGAGTACTAGCTGAGCTTGCTGCTACTGGGAATGTAGTTGCTTACAGACTCTCCCAGCTGACAGAGAAAGGAAATACATTTGTATCGACTACCTGGTCTATACATGCATTTCTGTAGGTATTTCTCATGTAACAATCTGCAACTATATTAAGCTAAGCGTGAGTTCATACTGATGTCCCCAATCTAATCTACTACTACATGCGTCATTCTAGCCTTCTTCCCTTAGTTGTCTGTAACCTTTCACTCCAAAAGAAACCTGACTCTCACCATCTGCCATCCATTTACTTATTGTTCAACTCCAGTATACATGTATATAATTTCAGATTGTTAGCCACTATTTCTGTGAGAAACAACTTTATCAGCCAGAACACAGTATTATGTGTGATTCTCTTTGTCTTACAGACACCACTCATTTCCAGAGTTACTTAGTCAGCATCTTCCCTCCCATCCCCTTCAATGAGGTGCTTTTCCACTTGTAAAGCAGATTCTTTTGTCAAATTCTGCATTCTGTCCTGTGATCTCTTAACCTCCTAGATGACTTTTTAAATTTGCATGCATTAAGGCTCACTCTTTGTGTTGTAAAACTCTACAGGTTTTGATAATTGCAGTGTCATGTATCCACCATTTCAGTATCACCCAGAATAGTCCTACCACCCTAAAATATTCCCTGTGCTTCACCTATTCAACCCTCCTCCATCCTAAATTAATTTGTTAACCATCTCTATAGTTTTTCCTTTTCCAAAATGTCGTATAGTTGGAATCGTGTGGTATGTAACTTTTTCAGTAAGTGAAAGAAAATGACTGGTTTCTTTCACTTAGCAAAAAGCATTTAAGATTCATCCACATCTTTCATGATAGCCCATTTCTTTTTATTGCTAAATAGTATTACATGGTGTGGATGTACCACAATTTGTTTATCTATTCACCTATTAAAGGATATCTTGGTTACTCTGGCAATTATATTTTTGGCAATTCTGAAAAAATTACTGCTATAAATATTCATGTGCTGGACAAACATATAAAAATATTTTTGTGTGGACATGGTTTTAAAATCAGTTGAGTAAATACCTAGTAGCATAATTGTTGGATCATATGGTAAGACTATGTTGGTTTTATAAGTAACTGCCGAACTCTTCCCCAAACTGTAAGACTGTACCATGTTGCATTCCCACCAATGATGAATGAGAGTTCCTGGGGGTCCACATCCTCACCACTAACACATAGTCTCAAATTTTTTTTTTGGATTTTAGCCATTTCAGTGTAGTGGTTTCTCATTTTTGTTTTAATTTGCATTTTAATGGCATTGACATTAAATGCTCATTTGCCATCTATACGTCTTCTTTGATGAGCTGTCTGTTCAGATCTTTTGTCCATTTTAAAATTGGGTTGTCAAATAACTTGATTGTTTAAAAAAAATCTAGCCCATCTCTGAGAGGGGAGGGTCAAAAACAACTGAGGACTGTCAGCGTTTAGGCAAGATACCTAAAGAATATTTGTGGAATAATATTCCATGGAGAATTGGAATCCCAGACTTAAAAGACACTATGGTGTCTTGTCACAAGAGAAGAGAATGGGCTTTTGAGAGGGGAAGTGGTGGAGTGGCAGAGACCTTTACTACTCACCACAGGCTTCCCACAATTCTCAGGCACCTCACCATTAGTGGGACCACAGGACTAGTTACGGCCAATAGGCTATGAATGGAGATGCTGTCCCTCACTTCTGGGCCAAAGCAGTTAAGAGACAGTGCATAACTTTACTGTTCTTTTCTGCTTCTGCACATAACCAGGGAACACATATGTTGAAATCTGGATGTATCCATCATCCTGGGTCCCTAATTAACTGTGTGGAACAGAACCCTTACTATTCTGTCTTGGCCAAATTGTGTGAGCAAAAAATAAACCTTCATGGTGCAAATCCACTGAGATTTCAGGGTCCATTTGTTACTGTAGCATAACATGAGCTACCCTGACTTGCACACAATCATTGATTGGGTCATGCCTTTGGCATAATGCTTATATCACTAGAGTCCTCCAAACCCAGTGGTGTGCTGGCCCAGGAAAAAGTTGCTTAGAGGAGAGAGATCATCTAATGAACCAACATCTACTGAGACCTACCACATGCCTGGCCCCGTGTAGGCACTGTTATCTTCATTACCTCAGGTCTGTTCAGCTCTCTTCTCTGCTGAATTGTCTGTTCTTGATAATCACTGGGCGTTTTCTCCCCACGTGGCATGTGGAGATTGACATATGATTGGAACTAACCTTCCCAACAATGGATTGATCCTTACAGGATACTAAAGGCAGATCTTCCTACCCATGTTAAGTCCTTATAAACCCCATGTTCCCCTAGTCTCAGAAGTTCTGGTCTACCTTCTGCTACATCTTTTCCTCAAACATGGGCCTTGCCTTCTGCTAACCGTATCCTTCCTAAAGAAGGAAGACATGCCCATCCCCGTTGTCAAGAAGCCATGCACCAGCCAGCATTTAACAGGCCTCTTCTCCAGCCACTCCCTGCCTAAAGCAATCTGCCCTAGACTGGGCCTTTAATAGCAAGCCACAGGCCACACTGAAAGATCCACACTCTCCCAGTCTTCTAATCACAGCATCTGGGGGCTGGATGCAGCCCTCAGGGCAGGGAGCAAGGCTTTCTCAGTGTGAAATGAAGTGATACTCAGCTCAAAATCAAGCCCTTGACCTCATTAGCATAATGTTCTGGTCAGCAGGCTTGGGGAAATGTGATGATGTTAATTACGTGCTGATTTATTTAATCCCTGTTCTTGTGAAACAGAGGCATTTGCCTTCCCCCCCTTTCCCCAGGGGCTGAAAACTCCTGGGAGCATGGCAGGGGGTGAAGCTGGAGGGGGAAGAACCCAACTAAAGTTGGACAAAACCCTGGATTCGATTCACTTTCTGACTATTGTGACCCTGGGTAACCTTCCCAAGCCTGGGATTGGGTAAGGATTATGGGTTTGGCAATGTGCCTGGCACGTAGAAAGCTCTCAGTAAATTACAGCCATTATTATCATACTATAAAGTATTTTATTCTGTCAACTGAAGGATGATTTTCCATTGCTCCATCTTGATTCTTGAGAGGTAGTAGAATATAGACCAGTGTCCAATAGAAGTTTCTGTGGTGATGGAAATATTCAGTATCTGCCCTGTCCATTTTGGTAGTCACTAATCACAGGTGACTACTGAGCAAGGGAAGGGTGGCTGGTGCAACTGAGGAATTGAATTTTTAGTTGTATTTCATCTTAATTACTTCAAAGTTAAAGACAGATGGTCCTCAATTTAGGACAACTTGACTTAATTTTCCGACTTCATGACATTGCAAAAGCAACATGCATTCAGTAGAAACTGTACTTTGAATTTTTAATTTGTATCTTTTCCCAGGCTAGCGATATATATAGTCTGGTCTTCTCTCATGACGCTGGGCAGTGGCAGTGAGGCACCGCTCCCAGCCAGCCGCACGATTGTGAGGGTGAACAACCGATACCCTCACAACCATTCTGTACCCATACAACCATTCTGTTTTTTACTTTCAGTACAGTACTCAATAAATTACATGAGATATTCAACACTTTATTTTCAAATAGGTTTGTGTGAGATGCTTTTGTCCAACTTTAGGCTAATGTTAGTGTTCTGAGCACATTTAGGTTAGGCTAGGCTAAGCTATGATGTTCAGTAGATTAGGTGTATTCATCATTTTTGATTTACAATATTTTTGACTTACTATGGGTTTATCAGGAAGTAATCCCATCGTAAATACAGGAAGAGCTGTAGTCCCATGAGTTTAGTGGCTACTGTGCGAGCAGTGCAGGTGCAGGGAGTAAGAGCGAGTCTTGGGGGAGACCACCCGGGCCCCTAGCTGCTGGAAGACCCTTGCTTGTTACCCAGTCTGGGCCTCCGCTTCCTCGTCTGTGAAGTGCGGATGTTGTAGCACATTAGTCAGTCCTCCCTTACCCACGGCTCCGCTCTCCGTGCCTTCAATCACCCAACATCAACCATGATCCAGAAGCAGATGATCCTCTTTCTGGCTTCGGGTCAGAAGGCCAACAGTCGCCTAACCCTACGTCACACGCCTATGACAGTCACCTCACTTCTCATCATGTAGGCATTTTTCCATCTCACATCATCACACGAAGAAGGGTGAGTAAGTCCAACAAGATATTCTGAGAGAGAGAGAGGCCACCTTCACATAACTTTTATTACGGTATCTTGTTATAATTGTTCTATTTTATTATTAGTTACTGTTGTTAATCTCTTACTGTGCCCAATTTATAAATCAAACTTTATCATAGGTATGCACAGGAAAAGCATAGTGTTCACAGGGTTCAGTGCTAGCTGTGGTTTCAGGCATCCACTGGGGGTCTTGGAATGTATCCCCCAGGAATAAAGGGGGGCTGCTGTACTGCCTTCCCAGAGTGCTTGTGAGGATTCAGTGAGTTAATCGCTAAGGAAGGCAGCTATTATTACTGCTCTCTTGAGCCCTGAGGCCTGTCCGATGCTCCGTGGGCCTGCCTGTATCTCCTATCTTCAGGGCCTCTGTCTGCTCCTGACGTGAATTTCTCATGGGCCCCAGTCCAGGGTGGAGAAAACAGTGTCTATTGTCCAGGGAGTGAAGGGGATTCAGAAGGCCTAGAGGAGGATCAGGACGGGTGACACCCCTCTCACCATGAGATGGCAGGCTTGTCACCCTTCTCGAGAAGGGTGGGCTGCGAGGGGGCAGGCTGATCCTCTGGTCCTGAGGCTGTTGGAACAAGGCAGCCTGGGAACGGGATTTGGATGGGCTCAGGGGCAAGGGCCGTGCTCCATTCCCGTCTCCCGCAGGAGCCGAGCTGTGTCCCCTCTACCCTGCTGCCAAATGTGGCGGTGATCCTGTCCACCTGCCAAACTGAGCCATGAAACCAGAGGAGGCCAGAAGCCAGGGAGGCTCTCCCGGAAAGTGGAAGGCTTCTAAGAAATGGAAGATCTGGGTCCAACGCCAGAGACCTGGAGCTGGGCTTTGGAATTCCCCCTCCCTTCTCACCCGGATGAGGAACCAAATTCCTCCATTTCAGGGAATGGGTGCAAGCCTGGGTCCCTTCCCCTCAGCCTCTCCTCCACAGGGGTGCGAGGGCCACGTGGGGATTTCCGGATCCTAGGCCTTCTTGGTGCTGCCAGAGGCACAGCCTCAAATTCCCCCAAAGAATTACTCAGCGCCACAAGCCAAGGGCCCCCTGAGGATCTCACAATCCCCATCTTGATCCTGGCTTGCTTCTCACCTGTCCCAGACTCTGTCCCACCTGTCCCAGTAGGAAATGGAAGGGTCCACAGGCAGGGTCCAAGTCTCCTTGGTGAGATGGCTGGAGAGAACTCCTCCTCCTCCCAGCCAGAGTCCCTTCCTCCCCTGGTGTCTGGGACTCCTGTTTTGCAGCCAGGAGCACCCTGAAATTCAGAGTTACAGAGAAATGCCACAGTCCTAGGGAACAGAGAGTCTGCCAAGACAGGGCATGGTGCAGGGACCACCTTCCCAGATTTCAGGGTAAGAGACAGGAGTGGCACCGAGACCTGGGTCCAGGAATGGCTTCCTAGTGTGAGAAATATGAGATAGTGGGTGGTCGGAGCCAGGTACATTTAACCCTCTGATCAGGCTGATGGGGGAAGACTCTGGTAGAGAGAGACAATGAGAAATCTGGGACTAAAAATACACAGGACACATGGCTGATATGATTTCTTGGTTAGCTGGATTTGGAGTCAGACTGAGGCTCAAATCCCAGCCCTGCCACTGACTGGCTCTGTGACCTTGGGTTACTTGTTGAATTGCTTCTATTCAGTTTCCTCACCTGCCAAAGGGGGAAAAAGAGATTCACTGTTCAGGTTGCACTGAGGAGCGAGGGAGGCCTGTGCGTGAATGGCCCCTGCCCCGTCCCCTGCACGTACTGGGGAATAGAGAGGGGGCAGTCTGAGCAGCAGGGGGTTCAGGGTGCAGGAATGTAGCTGGGGGTGGGGAGTTCAGTCCCCCGTGGGAAAGATGGATCACCATGGCTGGAACAGCCTTGCAGCCTTGCTGCAGACCAAGGAATGGACCCCACTCGCTGCAGCCAGGCTGAGTTTGTTCCTCAGCTCCGCCTCTACACTGCATTTCAAGGCGGTCATGGAGGGCAGTGGGAGAGCTGGGCCCTTCCCTCCCTGTGATGCCTGTCCTTCCCACAGGCCCCTATCCCACCTTGAGCAGAGGGCTTACATTTGCTGGGGACTCCAGGAAACCCTTCATAGGGCTGCTCAGAGAAAACTGGGTTCCCCGGTCTTACTCCTTCCCCTGCAAGACCCTCAGGGAGCCCTGAAAAGATCCGGGCTGGGGCCAGCCTGGCTGGTCTGCTTCAGACTTGTGCTGGGCAGGGAGGCCGTTGGTGATTCGAGCGGCCAGCTGGTGTCAGGTTTGCCAGGGACCCACTTCCCAGCAGACTCGAGTGTAAATTGAAAACCTGTTTGGATCTTGTGGTGGGGACAGGAAGGACGCTGGCTTTGCTCGGCTGGCACTGTGGCATCAGCAGGCCCCAGGCTGAGCCCCTCTGAAGGCTTCCCTTGCCCGCGCCCCTAGCCAAGGTGAGGACTCTGAGGCCACTGGGCCGTGAACAGCCTCACAAAGCCAGCTCAGGCCAGACTCCCCACTGCCAAGCAGGAAAACCAAGAGATAGTGAGGGCTGCGGAAGCCCAGTGGGTGCCTTTAACAATTATAGTCTTCTTAAATGCCAAGGAATAAAGTTCTTATCGTAAGGTAAAACATGGCCCCACTCCCTCAGACTGGGGGTTCTCCAAGAGCAGGGCTGTGTTCCCCCATCTGAATGAGACTGCCATGTCTCCAGGAGGGAGACGTCTCTGCCTTGTGGTATCCAAGATCTGAGAGTGGCTCACTACGGATGAGGGTGACAGGAGGGCATTTTAAGTGTCCTGACCACCTGTGCACTCCTGGAAGGCTCTCTCATCTTCCCCCACATCTCTTTCTCTCCCTTCAGAAGGACCCCTTCTGTAGTCCCAGAAGTCCTTCTAAGGAGAAGAGATCTGGGGGCCGGCCGGCCGCAGGGCAGGGCCAGGGATGAGGCTGAGGTGTGGAGAGCTGCCCTGCTCCAGGGCCCTCCTGTTTTGCCTCCCCAGCACCTCACTCCCAAGCTGGCCCTTCTGGCCTCTCTGCAGCCCTGCCGTGCCCAGAGCAACCCCAGCCAGGCACCCTCCTCCCTCCTTCCTTTGCCCACAGAGGAGGGCGCCTGGCTGCCCACTGCCAGGTTCAGAGGATAAAAATACCCAGTGGAAAAACACGTGGCTCCAGGTCAATCATTAACCCACAGGACCTGGTGTGCTGGCCACAGTGTCGCTTCCCAGGCTACCTGGCCCCCCAGCTGCCAATGGTGTCCTCCTCCTCTGACCCTCACTGTGATTCTCAGACAGGTACCCGCATGTTCCCAGCAGGAAGCACCCACCTGAGGGCCCCAGCGGCACAAGTCTGGCCAGCCTGTCCAGTGTGGCTGTGGTGGTCCTTCCTCTGCTCAGCCTAGGGTTCCTTGAAGCTCCCTGGGGCTCCGGGAGAGCAGCCTCGCTCAGAGATGCTGGGTCCCTCAGGTTTCCCACCCACCCAATAGCAGCAAAGCCACATTCCCTTAGGATCTGGAAGGAATGACGACAGGTGAAGGGGAGTGGAGCGAGGAGAGAATCCCGCCAGTGCTGGCACACACCCCTCAGCGAGCTGGGAGGCCACCTGGAGGAGGTGTTGGGAGAGGCAGGCACCCAGGTGAGAATTTCCAGCCCTTTGTGTCCTAAGGTATCCTGGTGTCCAGCTCTGGGGCTGTCTTAAGCTGGGGAGAGCAGACAGACTGATGTGCCCCCTGTAGGCCCGGATGATTATGCCCACACATCTCAGGCCCACCCCAATATTGCCAGGCAGACCCTGCCCACTGGCATCCCCGCAGCTGCCTGAGGTCAGCAGGTGACAGCCTGACCCCTGGCCCTCGCTCCTCATGCCTCTGGGGTCCCGTGCCCAGTGGTTATAGGAAATGCTCATGTGGCAGCCTTGAGCCTGGGCCAAATGCCCCATTTTCTGTCAAGGAAGCTTGACTGTGCAGAGTGAAAGAGGGCGAAGTCCATCTGAGCCCAGGAGGACGGCCCGACCGTTCTGGCTGGCGGCAGTCCAATGGGCCCCTTAGAGCTTGAGGGGGACTTAGGGGGGCCTGAGACCAGGGATGCCCTCCCAGCCACTTTGATGTCCGTGGCAGCATCACAGTGGCATGGTGGACAGTGCGTAAATATTAACTTTCAGGAGAAGCAGAGGGTTTGAGCGGAGATCAGCAAGGGCGTTGCCTGCCCCTCTGGGCAGCTGAGAGCTGGCCGCCTGGGGATTGGCCTCGGCAGCCCTGCTGCTGGGTCAAGAGTCCAGTGCTGGACAGAGTTGGGAGGCCTGGGGCCTGGCCTTTGAGGGAAATTGAGGCTCCTCTGGGCACACGAATTCCTACCCAGAATTGTCCCCCAGCTTCTGGACATGTTTCCCACCAGGGTGGCTGTACCTGTACAGGGACAGGGCTCTGGAGACAGTGCCTGGAGGCCTGGCACTGCCACTCATGCATCCAGGCCACACAGGAGGCAGGCCCAGAGGCTTTGGTTTTGAACCAAGTTCTGCCACTTAAATGCCACATGGTCTTGTATAGTTACTAAGCCTTGCTGAGTGTCCGTTATCTCATCTATAAAATGGGGACAGTTACGTCCAGCTGTCAAGGTGTTCCAAAGACTAAGTTGGCTGATCTCTCTGTAGTGCCTGGCACATAACAGTTATTCTATAGAGGGTTGCTTTAGTTAGCTTTTCTCTCCATTCTGGGCCTCAGTTTCCTTATCTGTAAAACAGGAGTGATCATGCCCAGCTCACAGGACTACATGAGCTGATCTTTATATTGCTGTTCATGTGGACACTTGTTCATAACCGTCAGCACGATTGTTGTCTGTTCCCCTCGGCACCTCAGTGTATCCTCGTCTGGATTTGGTCATCTCTGAGGACTTCGGCTGGAGGTCCAGGGCACTCACCACCTGCTTCCTGAACACAACCACACACCTGCTCCTCCCCATTCTTGCCAGGGCCAGAACGCATCCTATTGCCCTCATTATCATGCTGACATTTGCTTTGGCTCACAGTGCAGTTACCTATTGAATTGAACAAAGGCCGAGGAGAGAGGCAGATAACAGGACAGCCAGAAGCCCCAGCTTTGGAGAGAGAAGCAGGTAGAGGTGTTAGTCCGCACCCTGACCTCAGGCCCAAGAAACAAAGGCAGTGATGTGGGGAGGTGGGTGGGAGGTGAGGGTCAGAATCAGCTTCCCCCAGCTGAGGAGCCAGGACTTGGTGGAGGAGGGGTGTTTGCATCTGGATGCCATCTGGAGTAGGGCAAACACCAAGGGGCCACTCGAGGAAATGCCTGAGCAGCAAATCAAATCCTGCAAAGAAATTGCCAAGCTCTTGAAATGAATGTCTGAGGGAGAGGAATGTGTCTAGGAGTGCTGGTGAGGGGGGAAGACCAGGTTGGGGAGCAGGCCAAAGGGGAGAGGGAGGGGCCAAGCCTGGGAGACTGGGGTCGAGGGGCCCCTCAACAGACGCTGAGGCCAGACCTCTGGGCTGGGGCCGATGAAGGCGGGGTCCCCAGACACACAGAAGGCCTACTGCCTCAGAATCTGGGTCTGGATGTCTGTAGCCCCCCAGCCACTTGTGAAATCCCAGACCCTAGAGAGCTGCTGTCCCCTGCACAAGGACCTTGTCCACGCCACACGCCTGATACAACACCTGCTGTGCGCAGAGCCACAGGTATGGGGAGCCCAGACTCTGACAGGTGTGGATCAGCATGGCATGGTGGCTTTGGGTTCTGACAGACTTGGGTTCAAATTCTCCTCTCCCTTTAATGGCTTTACAAGATTTAACTTGCTTGGCCAAGCCTCCATCTTCTCATTTGTTAAAGAGCATAATCTTGCAGCCTCTTGGGGCTTGTGCTAATGCTGGGTGGGGCTGCAGCACAAGGCAGGATGTCTGGGGAACCCTTGACCCTCCATGGCCTCAGGACTGCATACACCTCAAAGCCCCCTGCTGGCATAATGCATGCCCCTGCCCTGTGCAAGGGGTATGTGTTATGAGGCAACACTATGTACAGGACAGGCAACATGCTCAGCCCAAGTTAGCTGATGGCTGCGGGACATGGACACATCAGCCTTCTACCATTGCTCCCCTATAAGCCATGCCAGGCAGGCATACTCACCTATGTGTGCACACGTGTGGACTTGTGTGTGCATGCAAGTGTGTGTGTGAGTGTGTGTGTGTGTACGTTTTAGCATCTGTGGGTGTGCACATGTACTTGTATGTGTTTGCATGCATGTTTTGTATGTCATTTGTATGTGCTTCGTGCAGAAGTTTGTTTTAACATGTGATGTGAAAACATGCATGTGTTGGTGTGACTGTGTGAGCATGTATCATGCAAATATGGGTTGTGTGTTCTTGTGTGTATGCAGATGTTTGTGTCTGTTTCTATATAATATGTTTATATTGTGTTTGAGTATGTCTGAATATATAATGTACAAGGGTTTGTGTTTTTTAAATGAGGTATGTATGTGTTTATATGTTTCTGTGTTAACATATATTTGTGGATATAATGCACCTGTATATAATTTATATAATTTGCATGCCTGTGTATTATATGCGGATGAGTGTGTGGATGTGTACATGAAAGGCAATTGTGTCTGTCTGTATGTGTATATAATATGCCTCCATAGAAATGTGCATGCATAATTAGCATGCATGAATAATGTGTACCTATGTCTGCAAGTTTGTGTGTCCGTTTGTCTTGTGTATATACCCGTGCCTGTAGAAGGCAACTGAGCATGTTAGCAACAGCCCTGGACTTGCAGTCAGAGGAGGGGGGTTCAGCCCCCAGTGGCCCAGAGGTGAGGCCGTGAGGTACTTACTTGGCTTTTCTGAGCCTCTGTAGGCCCAGCTATAACCACATCTCTTTGCTCCCTGCCCTCTCCCACTGGTAAGGCAGGCTATGGAGGAACATGTGGACAAATAGGCAGAGCAGGTCAGGACTGCCCTGGAAAGCACAGGAGGGGGCTGCTGGGTCCAGCCCTGCTTCTAGGATTCAGAGGAGCAGGACACAGGGCCTGCCCTCACCGGCTTACAATCTGCTATAAAGACAGAAAATAATCATAGCAGTGTACACCTAGAGGGCTATTGTAAGGACTAAATGAGTTAATACATGGACAGTACTTAAAGAGTACCTGGCAATTAGAAAATGCTCTAACGGTATTACCCGTTATTGTTATTATAAAGCGAGAAGCCACAGAATTAGTTCTAGTACAGAGAAAATGAAGTGAGCGACAACAAAAAGGACCACCATCAATTTCAGGGAAAACAGGCCTTGCAAAGGAAAAAAACCACCGCAGCTTACTCAGTGGCTCCACCAGTGGCTCCACCCTGGATGTTAATGCTTTTACAAGGTCATGTTCCTTTCCCATCTAAACAGAAGGACATGGGGATTATGGCAGGGAGGGCAGCAAGGCCGTGCATCTCAGCTGTCGCCGGAGGCACAAGAGAATCGGTCATGGCAAGTGAATGTAGTCACCTCTTGAGTGAGACTGCTGTTTGTGAGGAACTTTATAAAGCTGAGTTACTCTTATGTGCATAAACAGCTTTGGTAAAGACTTTAAGTAAGAGCAAGTGGGTGTCCTGGCAGATCTGCTGGGTTTTCAGTGAAGATGAGTATAGACCAGTATACTCCCCTCCCTCTGTGCTAGCTATTTAAGTCATCCATCTAAATGCATGGGTAAGAAGAAATATAATAATATTCACAAAAACTTCTATGCTGTTCGAGATGTACCACTGTGCTAAGACCTTCCCATGTTTTAACTTATTTGATCTTCACACCCATTCTTATGATAATTTCTCCTGATTTTCATTTTACAGGTGAGGAAATGAGGCACAGAGAGTTTAAGTAACATACCTGTGTCCAAATAGCAGAGTCAGGACTGGAACTCAGGCAGTCTGATCCTGGAGTTCATGCTTCTAACCACTGATTATTTGAGAAGGCCCAAAGAAGCAAGGTGCTGAAAGAGACATGCACCTGGCCCAGTGCCTTGGAAGTAGCCAGCAGCCACACCACACTGGATGACCTTGATGGACAAGGCAGGGAGAGGCGGTGATGGACATGGGGAAGTGGGGAGGGGCTATCACGCAAGGAAGCTCTGCCAGGGCCCTAGCAACAAACCCTGCTGGGGCCTCCTATGTGGGGCCAGGTGAGTAGAAGTACAAGAAGGAGTCAGGGCCACAAGGCCTTCAGATGCCAGGCTGCTGACTTCAGCCCCAAAGCAGTCCAGGAACCCAGGTTTGGTCCCCCATGGAGTAACTGCACATGTCACGCAGTAGTTCCACAACTGCCCACCAAGTGCTTAAGGTGTGGTTGAAAGTGGGTGCAGGATCCAGAACACTGGGATTTGAATGCTGTCACTTCCTAGTTGTGTGACCTTGGACAAGTCATTCAGCATTGCTCTGTGCCTCAGTTTCCTCTCCATATATGAAGATAGTAATAGCGTGGATCTCACAGAATCGTCGAGAGGATTAAATGAGTTAATACCGGTGAAGTGCCTAGCCCATGCTGTGTGCCTAATTAATCTAGCTACTGTGTTGTCCCTTGACCTTTAGGGAACTTAATACCAGTGTTACACTCGAGCTTTACCTACTTAATCTCTAAGAATGGCAATAAGATGACTAAGAGCTTGC